GGCACCCAAATCCTCTCTTTTAACACACAATTCTTCAACATTTCAATACTCATTCATTGCATAAGCATTTCTATTTTTCTCAGCTATTTGAGAGCCAATTCTTGAAGAAATTGTCGTGTTTTTGAGCGTTTACTAGTTCACTCATATCTACTCTTGTGAGAGTTTTATTCCTGAGTGTTTAAGTGTTTTCATACACTTTAAGGGAGTTTGTTCCCTTGTTGTAAACTCGAAGGAAGTTTCTTGTTCCTTCATGAGAAGTCTTGGAGTGCGGTATCTCCGAGAAAAGGTGTTGAGGCTCGTGTGACTCGGGTTCTCAAGTTGTATCGGTTTGTTAAGCACCCTTAAGCTTAACGGAGTTAGTGTAGCTCGAGAGAGTCTCTCGGGGGGCTGGATTAGCCACACGTTGTGGTGAACCAGGATAAAATCCGGTGTGCTCCTTCTTTACGCTCTTTACTTTAACGCTCTCGATTTAATTTCTTGCGATTTTGTTTTATATGCTATTCACCCCCCCTCTAGCGTTGGGCCTTTATTCTAACATAATGAAACTAGCATATCGAAGAGATCGATATTACTTAATACGAATCAAGTATGGTGCAGCAGCTTTGTCGAAAATCGATGTTAGCTCGGCTAACTGATGCAAGTATCTTCATGTCATGCAGAGACCACCTTCGGAGTGCCTTATTTAAAAGGCTTGAAGAATCGGGCGTCCCCGATAAAAGCTCAGCTGAGACGACGGTGTACCCAATTCGATTGAGTTCAGACTTACGAGAAAATATGTGCAAGACCGGTGTGTATATCATTCTTTGCCAGGATTTGAACAAGAACGATTTTTACCAGCATGTCAGGCTGGGCCTGTGTCACATATTTAATATTTTATTATACTGAGCAAGACCAGTGTAGTACCAGTGTGCTAGGTCGGGCCTGTGTCTCAGTCTTCCACTTCTTTTTAATACTGAGTAAGACTAGTGTTGTAACCAGCGTACTAAGCTCGGTTTGTGTCTCAGTCTTCCCTCCAAAGTTATCGCAGACGGATACATGATCCGTGCATTCAACTGAACAATATTTTTTTAGAATATGCCACAGCTCATTGGTGGGGCCATCTTGAATCTTGCATTATTACTCCCAACCACTTTGTCCTCATACCCAATTATTGGTAGGGAGCAGCCCAAATAAAATAAAGTGGCCTTTTATTCTACTCCATTGAAGTAATTCAAAAAATAGGTATCATAATTTTGGGATCCTGCACTCTTTAGTGGGGTGGGCCCTTGGGAATGATCTCTTCCACTTTTTTTCTTTGTCTGATTGCTCATGGAGTATTGTGAATGAAATATGCCCACCCAACCATTTAACATTATTGGGCCTCCACCAAGTGCATTTGGATGAGTTCATTGTGCACATCACATTATTTTTTCAAATTTTCCTTGTAGTTTAACTTTCCATGTTATGTGAGCTCAGCCACTATCTCTCAATCAAGTCTCTTCGTTTCTGGTAGCAGCATTTGTGGAGGAATAGTGGCAGCGGTGAAAACTAATTTCGCCAAGTAACAATAATTGGTTCTCCCTGCGGCCAAGGCTAGAGCGACGGAGGACAGAGGGTCGGGTTTCAACTTTAGGGGCGACAATGGCGGACGTCACTAGTGGTGGCGACATATTTTGACTAGAATTCCCTAATGGCCGCTGCAGACATTTTCTATGGGGGGAAGGAGATTGACATTGGACGATGGATTTAGGCCATGGCTGCAATCGGTCGGCAGGCATAGCCCATCTCCGTAGTGCTTACAGATCACCTCGGTGATGGTGAGTCCCGAAGTCGTGGCGGTGGTAGGCGTAAGCAACCATCGAAGACGACGGTGCTTCCCGACAGTAGTAGTGGCCTTCAACAGTAAGGCTGAGCAGCGACATCGATAATGACTAGCTCTTTCGGTGACGATGGCTGATTTCATCGCCCCTGTGGTGGATATCAGCTATGGCGGTAGCAATGAAATCGAGCTGCAGTTGGATGTTTTATTGGCAGCTAGATTCCATGGCGATGTCATAACAACATTAGCTTCAGCAATGATGGTGGGGATCTCAAAGTGGCAAGAGCGGTGATTGACTTTGCCTGATGTAATGGGTTACGTCAGTGGCAATGATAGTGGATTCCCCCCAACAACGAACAATTCTAGAAAGTAGTTTTGTGAAATTGTGGCAGCATGGCGGCCTTCTTTTTCAACACGGCAGTGATCGGCAGACCCTCCAAACTAATGGCAGGTCTAAGCCGTGCCTACGATGGATTCTAACAATGAGAAGTAGAATCGGCAAATGTTGGCGGCAGCAAGGTGAGCCCCCACGGAGCCCGTGTTCTTCCCCCACCTAAGGACATACTCATAATTTTCGTGGATTTTAGATCAAGCGTCCCACAGGTGGCGCCAAAATGATGGTGTAAATTATCGACCGGTATATCGTTTTAGCCTGGAAAAAACGATAAACTAGTCTAAAAATACACCAAAATATAAAAAAACAAGGATTTTGACTTGCAAACCCAAATCGAGAGAAAAACCACGGGCCTTTTTTGGGCAGTACCTTGCCAACGAGGGATTTTTATTAATATCGGGGGTTGTACACGGTACATGATTTGGGCTCGAAAGCCATTAATGGAAGCTTAAAAGCTTATTGAAGAACAAAAATACAAGAATTCTAGAGAGAGAAATAGTAATGGGCAGGGAGTAAAGAATGAAATTGGCCTCCACAATTTTGAGGGCAAACCTCTCTTTTATAGGAAGGAGAGGGAGCATCTACGGGAGAATATTCTCTTATTTCTATATTTTATTAAACAAACCCGGTTTGAGTGTTCTTTGTAAATAATTGGGAAATGTGGACCGAGCCACGTATTATTTCCCATCACAGTGTTTGACTAAAGTTATTTTCAAATCATTTTATGTGAAAAATAGTGTAAAATTAAAAAATAAAAATTACATATTTAAAAACAATATCAAAAGATCTACAAAATTAGATGTGACATGACTACATTATTTTATCAAATGATCATCGAAAATATACCTATAAAGTAAATAAAGTTTGACCCTGTGAATACTGAATGGGAAAATTATTTTTAGAAAGGAGTATTAAATTTTGATCTTATATGATTTAGTCTAATCTGTTTTGATTGTAACTATATTAAAAATTGTTTCTAATCTAATTTGATATTATCTAATTTCAATAAAAATAGGTTGAAGAGAACAAGCACTTAAAACTCATTTTAACCCGCTAAGTGTATTTGTGAGTTAATTTAGTCTATCTATATTACTTAAATTCAAATTAAAGGAAACAATCATGTGTGTTAGCTCCTTATATTAATTAACCGAACATTTGTATTAATTTTAGTAACATTGTTAAGATAAATTTTATTAGATGGACTAATTTGATTTACACTTTGTAGCTACATGGATTAATGGAACTAGAGGCAACATTTAAAGACTAAATTGATTCACGAATGCACTTAAAGAGACCAAAATAAAAATTAACGTTCTAACATATGTCTAAGCTCAATCTGTTACAAGATGTCTCTCAAGTAGTCTCGAGTACATCGATTCATGAGACTGTGAATAGGTCAACCTATAAATGGATCGAAAATAATATACTTAGCATCTTTGAGAAGAGAGTTATCTCATCTTTTTGCCAAACTATTATTTATTGGCATTAATAGACCTACCTAATTACATGATACTTCCTCTGTCCCTCAACTTTTTCCAATATTCTTTTTTGAATTGTCCTACTATATTCATGTGCTTTTCTTTTTATGTAAGTCTAAAACCGTCAAAAGGTTAATTTTAATCATCCTTTTCTGAAACACGGAGTAACACCGCAAAAATATTGTAATGTTATTTTCTTATGGCCATACAAATTGCACATGTGTGAATAGTAAAAAGACTCATAATTATACTTTAGAGCTTTTTGTGCCATTTTAAAAATTTCACTAATCATCCTTTAATTTTTAAAAACTTTGCATCAATGATCCCTCTGTGCCAAATTTGAAGGTATAATCAAATACTCGTACGTGTGGATTCATCTAAACTCATATATCACACGTGAGTTCTATAATATATTTTCCCAAATATTGTTTCTTATATTTTAAATTACGTGAAAGCTTGGATAATTATTCCCGCTTTAGTCGTTGGTAACCAAACTCAAATTCCTAACATCAGTTAATCACGATCCTTATCAATCGATCAACATTTTCATTAATCCATGACATCTTCATCAAGCTCTAACAGGTGTATTGATGAGCATGCCAGTAACAATCTCTTAGATCTAGCATAGAGGGACTATTAGTGCAATTTTTAAAAAAATTCATGGACCATTGGTGCAATTTTTAAAGTTCAAGGGGGATTCGTATGATTTTTGAAGAGTTCGGAGGTAAATGGCACAAAGACTCTTGTACTTTAATTGTTTTTTAAAGTTGATTTTGACTTTGTTTATCAATCTTGTACTCCACCACGCATATAGCCCTTTTACCATTCTCCAACTCAAGTAAGGGTATGTAAGTCTTTTTATCCCATTTTATATGTTTTCTTGGTACCAAAACTAAAGTGGACGAAAACACCAATACATAGGAAGTATACTTTTTAATGCAATAGTAGATTTCTTCATTTGTGCCAAACTAATCATAAGACTTTCAAACCTCACTTGATGGATGTTGGAATTTTTGGTATTTTAATAGGCATTAAATGGACCAACGTGGATATATTTGTCAATAGGTCCACTAACGGTTTTAACCGTTAATTAATGAACGTGTGTTCTCTTAAATGAGATAAATATTTTGATAATTTATACGCCAAAAATGGTAGAGGGTGAATGAGAAATTGATTCTCAGATGAACTGTTGAGTAGAAGAAAATATTTATTATTTTCAAATTTCTACAACCTGTTTTACACGTTTGTTCTAATTAGTTCCAATTTCGGAGTTAACTATCCACTAATCTCCAATTTATAGGAACAAAATTTAAACTAACGTGTATGCCAACGGTTGATAATAATGAACATAAATGATATAATCATTATGATTATTGATGAGTGTCATTATGCACATGATAAAGAATCGATTCGTTTCAATTCTTATAAAAAAATGAAGGCACATGTTAATTGCATTAAATGTTAAATGGCCTTTCATGCTTCTTGGTTTTGGATATATACGTACACACAAGAAGAGGAAAAGTGAGATATTGCCTATTGTTATTAAAAGTTTCTTTGTTTCCCCCTTGGTTTTTACGAACAAGAAAGGGAAAAAGAAAGAAAGGAAAAAAGAGTACAAAAGCTCTAGTTTTTTGCCAAAGTTTCAAGCCATCCTCTTCAACGTTTTTTTTTGTCGGCATTACTCTGACGTTGTTCTTGTTCGTTGGTGTGTAGTCGGTCCGTACAACCACTACACACGATAGCAGTTTTATCCTGGGAGGAAAGTGTCCACGTTCTCCAGTACGGTAGGCGGGCACTATTACCTTAAGGATAGCTCCGGCAACTCCGCTGCCTTTCTACAGTGTTCTATTTTGCAGATTTTGTTCTCGAGTTCTACGTCCCAGTTCGCTGCTTCTTTTTAGTGCACAAAGTCCTTTTTGTCAAAGAAGGCCTTTGAAGATCGGAAGCTAATTTTATTTTATTTATTGTAATTAATCCGAATAAAATTATAAATTCGGATTATTTTATTTCTTTTAGTTTCCGGGACCGTTCCTCTTTCCCGTCTATTGTAATCCGTACAATCATTTGCAACAATGGATCCTAGAAAATATAAAATAAGAACACTACTCAAAGTGAGTTCCCAATAGCTTTGAGCTCTCAAACTTTTGATGAAAATATACGCAATTAATATCACTCTTATGAGTGCTGTTGATGGATTCTTCCTAAGTCACATGAATTAGTGATCAAACTCGTTCCATGGTGGCTTGGGACTTGTTGGAAACTTCAAACAATGCTACCTATTCAAAGAAAGAATCAAATAAGGTGGTGGTTCAAACAAGATTAGATAAATCTCAAGATGAGAGAATATGAATCCATCACCAATTTCCGAACAAGAGTGATAAATATCATGAATGAAACACTCGATCTTGGTAACAAGCATGATGACCAAAGAATGATTTGTAAAATTCTCAAAGCATCCACCAATAAGTTCCATGTCAACGCTCTTAGCATTGAGAGGATCATGAGATCTCTCAACTAACTGTCAATAAACTTTGTAAGAATCTTGAGTGTGCAAGGATAGAATTAGCACATGATGAAGAAAAAATTCAAAGAATAAGAATTTGGCATTCATTGCTTCAGTTGCTCCGACCTCCACAAATGGATCTCTTCTGCTATGAGAAGTTCCTTTATGAAGTAATTACCCTTGTGACAAAATACTTTGTTTAGATGATGATGAAAAGGGGCGGATAGGTTCTAGAGTTAGTAGAAAACGGAATATAAATTTGTCGTAACTTCATTTTCACAAGAAAAAGAAATAACCTAAGTCCACTAAAGCTCTGTAACACCTCACACTCGTAAGACCCAATTACTGGCGGCCTAGGGGTTCGGAGGGGTTACTCAGATGGTATTAAGAAACATCCAAAAAATAACTCTTTGCCAAATATAGTTTAAAAGAAATCAATGGAAAATAGTCCAACAAACATAACGGAGTAAATGTAAACAGTCTAGTGGGGAAGCTTAAAAGTAACAGTCCATGAACGGAGATACGACAAGGTTGGGTTCAAGCTCGAAAAGGTAAACTTTATTAAGAAACAAAGGTAAATCCACGTCCATCCATGATCCATCCATACATGGCCTCGCTCTCATTAACCTCCGGGATGAGTTCCAAATTCATCATTCCTACCTGTGTATAGCAAGAAAACAACTATACGCTCAACATAAGTTGAGTGGTAACTCTAACAATAGAATACGCAGTTGTATAACAATATAGAGACAAATGACGAAGCTAAATATAGCGGTAAGTCAACAAATAACCGAGTTAGACTCGTGTCGTTCTCTCCAGGAGTGACGAAGGGAATGGTTAGTTTTAGTATTTATCACAGGTAAATTTGTAGTCTAAGGGTGCAAATAAATAAGAAATAAAGCATCTAAAGTAAATGATAAAATAAACTCATGAGTTAAGATCGGAACGCGGACTTAACACAATTTAACTCATCTTTAACTAACAATTGGATTAATGAAATGTGTATCACTTATGTTTAATATATCTCCTATTTCTAGGTCTCAATATAAACATAAATGATAATGTTATATTTAATACATCTCTTATTTCTTGGTCTCAGTACTGTGCTAGAAAATGATCGGCTTAAATAATTCTAAATCCTCATAGACAAGGCAAGAACTATTTTCCAATTACTTAATTAATAAAATGTTTAGTATTATTAATTAGTTAAACCCATTCCAAACGGTTATTTCTAACCCTTCCTATTTCTAGGTGTTCGGAACGTGTGGCTTAATTAATCTTATTACCTCATAGACAAGATGATAAAGATTAAATTCCAAGGATTAATTAATAATAAAACAATTTTATTAATTAATAAAGATTAATTCATTTTCTCACAATTAATCCCATTACTAATAAATAGATGAAATTAAATTGATTAAATCTTTATTCCGAATCCTAACCCATTTAAAATTACCAATTCATAATTTCAAACAAAACATTCAACATCATCATAATAACATAT